CTTCATTAAAACAAACATCGGGCACACATCCTGCTAATTTGGAAATCAAGCTCGAGATCATGGCCAACAATGTGACTCTTGTTCAAGATCAAGAGCAGCCAAGCAGAGCAGTAATACATCATTCTGTTTCCAAACCACTCAGCTGTTTACCGCTTGTGCTCCAGCCAAATTAATTTAAATACATTTGTGTTGCTGAAACAAGCAGCTTTAACAGTCTCTAAATACAAAAGCATTCATGCACTCTTTTTCAGAGGACACTGGAGCGAGCACAGTGTTATGTACCATACTATGATCACAAAGAAGCTTTGCTGAATAAATGATAATGCCATTAGCACCATCGACAGCCTTCAAAATCAACACTAAAAATATCATCAGTCTCTGCTTATTTCAAACAAACTGTTTTATTATGGGCCTTGTAATGGCTATGGAGCATGACATTTTAATGGGCCTATTTTACAGTCAAAGTGTTGTTGACTACAGGGTGGATTTTCTTGCATGTATGTACAATATGTGTTGACTGGAATAAACACTGCTAGTGAGAATAGAGATTAAATTACCGCTTACATAACTTTTTCTGCAAATCATGCAGCGCTGTGATCCAAGTCTGCTATGTTCACCCATATTAACTACTAATAGTGTGGGCTTGGACATTTTGCATTGTTTAAACCTAATTTGGTTTTTGACAAGAACGGGACAGGAATTAATTATACTTTAACAGAATAGTCATTGATTTCACATTTTAGAGGCATTTGTCCTGATAACAAATAGCAAATCCTAAGACCACCTGCCTCCTCAGAGGATACAGAGGGCAGAGGTTTAAACCATTGCAATCAATGGAGATCAATTTAGCTAAATGCAAAAGGATTGTATAGTACAACACAAGTTCTGCACACTATCATCTTTTCAATATGGAGTCTTTTTGTAGTAAGCACTAAAGTAAGGCAATTTATTTCAAGCCACACATGCATTTTAGGTGAGCAAACATTACTCTATATATTATATTCAGTTTCTTTAAAGCTTGATGTGTTTTAGGCTTAAGTAAATAAACATTTTATTGATCATATTATACGTTGAATACCTTCTGGGGGACTCTAGGGAAGCATTTAAGATAACATATCACAGTCCTTTAATTCTAATTTCCAGTCCTTTACACAGCAGGTGGGAACACAAATGCATACATACACACATGCTCCTTGTCAAGGTTAAAGGATACAATGCAGCTTGCTAGACCCTAACGACTACAGGGGCTTTAACAAATATTTGAGCAAACCTGAAACATCTTCCATTATAACCTCAAGGCTCAGAGGGGAAATGAAGGTTAACATACAGTACATCATTCAGGAATCAATATAGAGAAGTGCCAGCAACACGTCCCCCGTAACATATTACAACAGGGGAACAGCATTGAATTCATTCTACAGTATGTCATTTGCTACAGCATGCCATACTCCTTCTCAAATGTCCCAGGGATTGGCACTTTCTATTTGCCTGCAAGAGAGGCTAACAGTCGGGCAACACATGAACCCCGCTTCACATCACATCACCAACACACAGTGAGCTCACTCGCTGCTCATGAGCTACTCTGTCGGGAGCTTTTAAATATAATACTGATAAATTGACATTTTGGGAAATACATTCTTGCTATTTCCCAAAATGTCAATTTATCACTATTATATTTAATTTATTATATTTGGGAAATACATTTTTGCTAGTCATGACCGAAAGAACGAGATCGCGGATACAAGCGGCCGAGATGGGTTTTCTCCGCAGGGTGGCTGGCGTCTCCCTTAGGGATAAGGTGAGAAGTTCAGTCATCCGGGAGGGACTCGGAGTTGAACCGCTCCTCCTTCGCGTCGAAAGTAGCCAGTTGAGGTGGTTCGGGCACCTAGTAAGGATGCCACCTGGGCGCCTCCCTGGGGAGGTGTTCCAGGCACATCCAGCTGGGAGGAGACCAAGGGGTAGACCTAGGACCAGGTGGAGGGATTATATCTCTTGGCTGGCCTGGGAGCGCCTTGGGATCCCCCAGTCAGAGCTGGTTGATGTGGCCAGGGAAAGGAACGTTTGGGGCGCTCTGCTGGAACTGCTACCTCCGCGACCCGACCACGGATAAGCGGGAGAAGATGGATGGATGGATGGACATTCTTGCTAAGAGTTACCATTCTCACATCTAGGTGGTTAACATGCTCTACAGCTTGTATAAATCTGGAAGCCTCAATTGCTTGTCTTTATAATACAGCACTGAAGGTTGTTGGCTGACAGGAAAAGGGGGAATGCTAGTCATGAAACATATTTTCTATTTCAACCTAGGCTACCTGTTTTTTATTTAAATGAAACACAGAAGATTTAATGTAGTAATTAGTCAGCTAGACATGTGGACTGGTAGAGCCTTGAAGATATAGCTTGTTAGCTTAGCATTGGATACATTCCAGAAAATGGGGAAGACGGCTAGCCTGGCTGGAAAGCTCTCTAATTAATTTTACATCTCTAAAATGATCTGTGTTAAAAGGCGAGCGACAGTGACAAGGTCACTTGTAAAGACTCCAGGAAGTCCATAAAGTCAAGTAAGCATAGCAACGCTAGTTTTGCTTTGTTTAAAAACTGGGAAGGGGGAACCAGCCTAGATGTGTCTAAAGGTAACAACATTTCAACTACTATAGCATCTCCAAAGCTATCAAATGTAGTTGTTATATCAACAAAGAGACATCACCTTAAGAACTACTCACAACTAGCTAGTCCCAGTCTTTATGCTATGCTAAGCTAACCAGCTACATATTTCCCCTTACAGGTGTGAGAGTGATATCAATCTTCTCATCTAACTTTACGCAAGAAAGTGAATACCAATATGCCTTTTTCCCAACATATCAATCTACTCTTTAGTATCTGGACAACCTGTGTTCACATTGTAACCCTTGTATCCATGTTTTTAGTGGGTAGTTAAGTTCTCTGGGTATCAATCTGCTGACCGACTGTGTTAAAGACATGAGACGGTGACTTATTCAATCATTCACATGTAGATATCAGAAAGCTATATGTAAAAAAATATACTTTAAAGACTCTGTTTTATATACAGCTATCTTGTATGGCTTTACCATAATGGCATGCGGGAAATATTAAGACGAGCCTGAATATATCTACCTGAGTCATTTCTATTGTTCTAAGTGTCACTGGGGGGTAAAATAAATTATTCAGATCTATGCAAAACCAGGATGAAAATCAATCAAGGATAGACCCAGATCCAATTCACGCATTATTGTAAAAGGACTTTTTAAGACATTGCATGATATACTATGGCATGTCTCATTGTAGTATTCACAGTGCAAGGGTGATGAGCGTGACGGGAGAGCTGAGGTGGGGAAAAAGGAGGCAAAAGGTTTTGGTGCAGTGAGTGTGAAGTGAATGCAGAGATGACACAAAAAAGAGGTGAGTGGCCTGGGAGGATATTATATGTTGAAGATGGATGCAAAGGAAAGAGAAGCTCTTGGCTGAGAGGGCGTGTATTTGGATTGAATATGAATTTTAAACTCCTTCATTTCTATTGCTGTCAATGGCCCCCCTCTCTAGTTTTTGTTACTTCATCACCGCCTCCCGGACAGGCTAACTATCAACGTCTCCTTGCTGTTTACTGACATCAAACAAACATTACGCAGCTTTAAATCACAGATGACTGGGAAGAGATAGTTGCCAGCAACTAGGACATTGATCGCAAAGACTGACAGAGTACTGCATCCTCGTCCAACATCCTCCATCATTACACGTCGTCTACACCTTTAAAAAGTGAGGAAAATCAACCTTTGCAGACTTTTGGATCAAGTTCACAGAGAGAATCTTTATCTGCAAAGAAGAACCTTCCGCTGAAAACAGGAAATCTCTTATACCAGTATTCTTATGGTTTTGTTTTCCACTCCAGCATCTGAACAGCTTGACCTGGCCTCCTTTAATCTGCATCGTTTAACATAATTTGCCCACAGGATAAAACCATCCACTTTTTCCCTCTCTTTCCCCCTCTCTTATATTTTACTTCAAACAAACACAAACTTACTTCTCATTTATTCTGTTTTTACAAAAACAGAATACATACATTCTGCATTCAAAGGGTAATTAATACATTGCCAGCCTTTATCACTTATTTTCCTAGCAGACAGCTTTAAGCTTAAAAAAGAAGAGAAAGAAAGAGTTGCATGGTGCTTTCTTTTACCCTTCAAGTCAAAGTCTTTGGCCGCAGAAGCATTTTTCTGTGCTGATAAGGACAGCTCCTCTCTCATGAGGAATGGATTTTCATTTTTCAACTATGCTCTTTTCTCCATCTTTAGGAAATTACTCTTTATAGGCCGTTAGTGGCACTGTAAATTCCCCTTCCCAACAGCATTGACAAATCAACTACATCACAGTCGTGCCTAGCTAAACTCCACTTTCCACGCTCGCCCCCAGAAATGGAATCAATCACCTGAGGGTAAAACTTGACTTGTGTCAAGAAAGAAATGGAGTTTGCACAATCAATGGAAGGTCTAGAAATGGTGCAAAAAATGCATGAGCAGTAAAATGCATAGATCAGTATGTGCTATGTCATTCAGTGGATACACTTGTCATGTTTATATCAGCATTCAATATGTACATTCAAAGAAAAATAATGAAAATTGCACTGTATGCTTCCCTTGGCTCCTTTACTGCACAACATTTCAGTTGTCAAGGTCTGATATATTGAGCACATATAGCAGACCTCAGCATTTAACGCTGACATGTCAGTGATTTGTTCTGGGTTCGGTTTGAGGTTAACATAATGGTCAATGGGAGGTCCCCAGATCATCGTATGCTTATTTGTTGACTCTGTGGTTCTCTCTTCATGCCTTCATCATCAAATCATCACTGAAAACACCACCGTCATTACCTGCATCATCACCACAGGCTTGTAATTCCAACCAAAAGTGTCCAAAAAAATCATATGTATCATGCATGACAAGTAACATTGGCAATCCATCTCAAATGTATTTTTTCTATGGCGATCAACCTCAGGGATTGTTAGACAGTTTGAGAATCAAGAGCTCCAAAACTTATTGTGTCCTCTACCTGGAGTTACTTGTCTCTGCCAGCCTGTTGTTCATGATACCGAGAGCGCCAACCCCCCCAGAGAAACCATTATGGCGTGAGCTTCCACACACTGTCCTGGGATATCCATTTGCCGACTCAGACAGCTGCTTCTGCATGATGGCCAGCGACACCTTGTTGGAGGCTGCCAAGTCTTTCATTGAGATCATCTCCCCTGAGAGTCTGCGTCCCTCTGTATCACTATCACAAGGTCCATCAGAGTCGGACAACTGGCCAGTCCGACCCTGGCGACTCTTGGAGCCCGGGCGGATTGCGTTCCGTCTGCCCAGGAGCACGGTGGCCTTATTGCAGCGCTGGCAAAACAAGCAGCTCATTTTCTCCAGAATCCAGTTGAGCACCTGCTTAATGACAATAGAGATAACATTGAAGAGCGAGTAGATGCAACACACGCCCATTAGCATGAAGAAGAAGTTGGCCACCCTGTAGAGGCTTTGGTATTTGTAAGCGGCGCTCTGGCTGCTAACAAAATCTCCAAATCCAATGGTGCTGAAGGTAACAAAGCAGAAGTAAAGCGAGTCTAAGTAAGCCCACCCCTCGACAGGGGTGTACATGGCTGACGCACAGCAGGAGATAGTGATGGCTGACAGGCCGAGAATCAGCATCACGTGGTACACGGACGGCTTCCAGCCGGGGAGGGAGTAGGCTGAGAAGTCATGGCGGATGCCCGGCGGAAGTAAACCGCTGTTCCTGATTCGACGCTCCCTCACAGCCTTCATCACCACGGCCAGCAGTGTGATGATTCGCTCCAGGAAGAGGTTGAAGAAGAGGATGGTGGCCGCGCAGCCCAGAAGCCCGTAAAAGATCAGGAACACCTTCCCTGCAACCGTCACAGGCGTCGTCATCCCAAAGCCTGCAGAGACAGATAGACATATCAGACCGAGACCAAAAACAATGTTCAGCTACACGGTTTCTTTAGAGTCCTCAAAATAAATGATTTTTCTGATTCCGAGACAAAGGGAGGCGCTGCTTAAAAGAAAAACAATCCCAAATCGAAATGGTTTGAAAATGAGGCCATACTGTGTACAAAAGGTTCATACAATTGGTGTGCAGAAAATACTGGATAATGACTTTTGCTTTTAACAGAATGTAAACTTTCTCTTGAATATAAGTCATGTGAATTAATTCACAGAGATATGAAAAAAGCTGGGTTTAGGATAATTAGAAAAATAATGTTTTGCATTGCTTGAGAAGTTGAGAAGGATAAGAAAAAACAACAAAATGGGCAGATATCGGAAACCCGCATTACACTTATTAGCAGTTAACCAAAAATAAAACAACTCTTATCTTTTACACAGGAAATAAACAGTAGTTCACTGACATAACGTAAGATCACACCATAGTTTAGTTTTATTTGCACTGTAAAGCCATGTCATCGTTTGTATAAGCTGTGTTTATTTACTATGCTGTTTCGCTTCTAGTGGCACTGTAAAAAATAAGGACATAGGGGTTATATTGAGGTAAGGCGGATGCCAGGAATAAGCTTAGGTAAGCTTTCTGAATATTTATTTCTCTCGACTCTGTGGTTTGGCTTCCTGCTATCTTCTGATTTCTCAGTCAATTACACTGAGTGTTCCAGCTGAGGACGGGGTTATGAGTGGAGAGGATGTTTATAGATTCTCTTGCATGTTGAAGGAGCACTTCAGAAACTCGAGCAGCATCACAGGTGCAGCCTTGACTTTGCAGCAAGTGTGGCTCTGATGTGAACTGATATTATTAGATGATGAATGTCTTGGCATTTGAGCACATTATTGTTTCTTCAGATCGTTTTATGAATTCCTGCAAGAAGGCACTCCACTTTCAGTGAGGAGGAATTGCAAAAATAAATAAGAAAAGATAATTTAGCTCAATATTTCATGGAAATAAATTCAAGTGTGGTTTATTGGAGTGGTTCCTAACATTAACTGATTGTGACACATTCAAATAATGACTACTTTCAAACCCTCATAACAGGTTATGAAGAAAACAATACTGCAATCGCTAAAGCCATGTTTAAGTCACAGTCAAAAGTATATTCAAAAGTCAAACTGAACTTTACGGAACATAAATATCATTATTCTCTGTTATCCCCTTTCAGTAACTTTTGATCATTTTGATTTCCACAGGGGACCATTTGTGTGGTCCAGTTCAGTTTGGGAATTATTGGTTTATTGCATAATTATTTCAAATTTTCAGTAGACAAAGTGTTTATTCATCATCATCATCATCATCATCATCATCATCATCATCATCATCATCATCATCATCATCATCATCATCATCATCTCATATGTAGAAAACAGGACCCATTTATACCTGTGTCTCTCGAAACTACTGATGCTTTGATAATGCTTGTGCAAATGATCTGCACCTATGTGTTATCTGTCTCTCTCTCTCACACACACAAACACCGAACACCAGTCATACTTCTCAGGGCCACTGCGAACACACACATGCACACACGCTTGAGCACACACACACACAGTGTCATTGCTCTTATCCACAGAACAGCAGATGATATATTTGTCAACAAATAAAATCGTGCAGAAAGATCAACCAGTTCACTTCCAGGCCAAGGTTAATTGATTTTTCCATCATGGCCATCCTCCGTTTTAGCCTTCTCTGAGCATTAGGGCAGCACTTTTCCTCCCTTTTTCACCAACCCGTCTATAACCATCCTTGTCAGGTAATAAATGACATCAATATCAAGACAATACTTCCTTTATGATATCTAAAATTGCTTTTTTGACCTTATCTCTCACCGTGAAAACCACTCTCCTGTGGGCTTGTTGTTGACACGGCGGGTCATTTAGATCAACAGTGATTGAAAAAGATTGTTTTAGAAAGACAAGAGGGAATATAACACCCCTCATGTCCACAGCTGTACACACACCTTATGACCTTACACACAGAGATAGACTTGAGTAGGTTTATACATTACACCAGACATTGAATTGTCTGGTTTTGTCAAAGATAGTGACAAAGTTCAGTAACAGACAGTGTGGGAAAGTTGAGTGAGAGGAGGATAAGGGGCCTTAATGAAGCCCTCAGTTAAATAGTATTCTACACTTTCATGTTTAATTAATTAGCAGGCAAAGTCTTTTAAACCAACTGAATGATAGGAAAACCAGATTACATAGTCTCAGCGCACACAGAGACAGTCTTCTGCACCGTCTCTCATTACCAAGTAAATTACCTAAGAGAGGAAAAGGCACCAGACATCGATTCAGTGTAGCATTTCAGAGCCATTACTCTAGACTACTGTGTCAAGATGCATTACGGAAAAACAGAACAATAATAGAAAGCTAAAAAAAGGCAAGCTAAAAACCAAACACTGTGAATTTACTCACAAGGACTAAAACTCTACAAAGTCTCCATTCCGGACCAATGATCCTGTTTCTGACCTCGTTGAACATTTCCACTGTGTCCGAGCTACGATGAGTCATTTAGTTCAACAGAACTTTATAAGGCAGAAAATCGTATGGGCGCTAATCCAATAAAATAGAAGCCCTGGGAGAATATTTGTTCTTTGACATTAAATACAGTATGCTCAACTCAACGTAGAAAATGATGTTATGCTCTAATGGCTAATGATACTGCACACATAAACACACACTAAAGCTTCAACGTGATGGAAATGGGGTCATTAGTATCCATTATTACAACTTGACAGTTTTAGAGGAAGAAGATCCTCTAATGGTTATGAGAATGTGGGAAAATGAAAAGGGGGGCAGATGGAAATAGATTACTGAACTGTGATTTTAGGGTTAAGGTCAGCTTCTATCAAGTTTTAATGCTACATAGTCAGCAGTAATCACAGTTTAGACAGAGCAGCTCAATGCCAATTTACAATGGCCCATTAAGTAGTAAAGTTAAGTCAGGACCCAAACAAATAGCACAAATTACTGAGAGTGTTGCTAATAGAAGCATTGATGGACTCTGCATTTCATTTGGTACACTCAGTAGACTCGCTCATAACAGTAATTGATCATCAGATGTTACACCAAAGAGCCACTCTGAGTCAGAGTCTGCAGCAAAATGAGTTTGCAGCAGCATTTAAATCTAAAACCATAAACTGTTCGAACTCTCCTCTGCCGGCAGCGTGACATTTCCTCCGGCAAGATATTAAATGGTGCTATTTTATCGCAGTACGTGTATGGAAACAATAGGGCTCTAGAAAATATTTTCCAATAAGCATATAAACATCACACTTGATTTATTGTGACAGATATATCATTTTCAAAGTGGAAATATATAAGGCTGGTAATATTCTGCTTTTTTGTTTTTTGTCAAAAGATCCCAGGAAAGTAAGAGCAGACCCAACAAAAAGAGGTAAAAGAAAGTTAATATTGTACTCACATTGCCAGGGGGCAGGAGAGAGGAATTCAATGATATTATAATGTTGCTCTGTGTCTGTTGGATGTTTAAATAAGTCACTGTTAGAAAGTATTTTTGCCATATAAACTAAAACAGTGATAACGTCAGTGTTGATTACATTTTGTTTATGCTACCCCCAAGTGGCTAAAATAAATCGATCCCATATAGAAAGTTTAACTGTATTGATAACAACATTTTCTAAAACAGGACACTGTAGTTTTGTAGTGTACAGTTGACTTTGTGGCTACAGTGACAACATTAAAAAATGGTCGATTATTTGTAGTTTTTAGATGGGAAACTGTGATATAAAATACTTGACTTATCCATTAAAATGGCTGTTTTTGCACATCTTTCCTAAAAGGAAACATTTGTGAATTGTCCAACTGCCATATAAGATATAATATGTGTTCATCAATTGCTAAGTACATTTAGATAAAGGAATTGATCTATGTGCAGTAAAGTTTTTGCTGTTTTTAAAGCCTTGAAGCTGGAAGCAATGACAAATTGACAACTTTTAACAAAGTATCTTGAAACAGACATATTGATTAACCTTCCTTATAAATAGCCTCCAAAGGCCAACTAAATCCGACCACATTTCCATCTCATGTTTGTCAAGGTTGCTTTTAGTGTGAGTGAGTGGAGCCGATAATTAAGGACCGTCGGAACTAATCTACAAAACTACGAAAGAAGAACACAATGCAGATATATACAAGGGAGCAAGCTAGAATGGGCAAGAGCTCCTAATGGATATGGGAATAAAGGGCAACTATAAAAGCACTCAGTCATGTTTCCGTCTTTGAGTGAAGGACATCTGCTGTCCATTCACCTGTCTCTCTGAGCACAATTGAATCTGAAGGTCACTCTGGGTCATTGAGGATAACATCCCCCCACCCCACTCCCAGAGGACCTGAAAACGGACCCAAAGATTCATTATGTGACTGTTCTGCAAACCAAAAATCAAATCTCAGCCTTCCATTGCCTCCCTGTGTCCCAAGTTAATGAGCTCCCAGTCAAACAAACCGTGTCCCATAGTGGGAATACTCTTAAATTGGCCTGATAGAAGCAGGAGCAGAAAGCACCATGTCCCTATGATGACTGTGTTTCTATGACAAACAGGAAATCTTTTGTCATGGTGTTGCGTGGCGGGGGTCTGTGGAGAGGACAGAGGGCTGAGGAAGGAGCGACATGGCCAGACCTGACACATCATCACCACACCATCTGCTGAGGAGCTGCCAGGATTACTGGCAGACTGTATAATAATAGGAACATTCACAATATGCTGCCAGTTTTACAAAAAACAGATGATAGAATAGGTCACATACATCATTGAGATGCAGTGATGTTGTTGTGTCTGCACACTGCATGCACAAGTAAAGGGCAGACACTACAGGTGAATAGGGTTGAAATGTTAACTAATGCATATCGTAATGAAAATCCCAGTATTAATAACTCATATTAAGACAGTATCTCTTCGTATTTTATGTTGAAATATACAGA